TAGATACATATATTCCATTTCCACCTCCTCCGTGTGTCTAGTTGAAAGGAACAGTAATTTAATTGTGCCTTGTGTTCCAAGAACATTTGCTGGATAATGTTCACATCACTACTATTAATACTTTGATGTTGATTCTTCCATTGTGTACTGTTACTCCATAGTTAGAGGGGGAAGCGTATTCACACAACAGTAGCTGGATAGCAAGTGGGATTGAGAAAGCCCTTCCAGTTTAAATATGTGGACACTTGGGGAGAAAAACCCTCCAAGTGAGTTAGTTTAACTACAAAGCAACTGGTCATACCTTCCACTTGGATTCTGTTACCAGTGTATTTTTTACTACACGAGGAATTTGTTTTATCTAAAAGAGGAAGTATGATGGGTAGATCCCAATCAGATACAATATGAGAAGCCTCGATTAGGTGCATTTTCTGTGTAATAAAACCAATAAAAACCCCACTTAAAGACACCAACACCATTATCATGAACAATGAGGCAATTTCTCCTGCAGTATTTTAAGTGCGTAGCTGTAACTTCAGAATAATTTTCTCCAACAACGTGCATATATCCAGGGCTGTTTGTGATTACTTTGTTTACCATACTGTAAGATCAATTCTAAGTGTATGCCCTGAAGTCTGAATAATTTATTTTCTAGCCCATTAGAACAATTTGGAGGATCTAATTCTGTCGGCAGCTTTTCTGCCAAGAGAGCGAGTGCACATGTGTCTGTGTATCTCTTGGGGAAGGAGAGACAGGCTGAATCTGTGCTTGTAGAGTAAGCCACCCACTTTACTGCTTGACTCTGCTGTATAAATGCCTGTGAGCAATTTGTCTTGAGCAGAATAAACCAATCCTTCCACAGCCAATTGCAAAGCCCAGGGCTTGCAAAGAACCCACTACTCGTGGCTTTGTACTCACAGTTTTGCAACTCAGGTACAGACGTACTAAACAGCTTGTTTGAGATTTACACTGAGGTCTGTCCTGGAACAGACACTGAACTCAAATCTCCTAAGTCTTAGGGTTATGAGACTATCCATTCTGGTGTCCCACTGTTTTGGCCTTAGGATAAAAGTTTTTACAAAAAAATGCAACGTTTATTGGGGAAAAAAATGTCAGAGGAAGCTGCATTTTGTTTCAGATTTTGCCTTGCTTGCACGAGAGTGGATTATCATGAACAATTAGGCAAATAATGTGTTAAACATTTCACAAGGGAATTAAAAAAATGCTGTTGTCAGTACCCTGACATCTTCGAGGGGGATTTGGGTTTTTTTTTAAAAAGTCAACCCAGCACTCACCACATGGAGTCTATACAGACTCACATTTGGCTGCCAATAGATCAAGCTGTAGAATTCTCGCTAATCTTTTTGTTTTAATGTTTTCTCTTTTAACCATAACAGCTTCACTGTTTGCATGGAAGCCCCCACATTGTCAAGAATAGCCCTGTTAATGGTTTTGGCTTTCTTTAACTTCACATCTCGGCAAGCCCTGAAAGCTGTCAAGACTTATCATCTCATCACTCTGCTTCTGACTGTGTGGCACAAACATGGACTGGGGGTTGGGGGTACGGTAGGGAGAAAAAAAAGTGGAGGAAAGGGAACATCATAAATAACTAAGCAAAATTAACCATAACTTAACAGCTCCTTAGATACCAAGACAAATAAATCCAAAAAGACAGGCAGCATAGAAACAACCACAACAGGTTTGTCTTTGCTCTCATCCAGAATAAACAAACATGATCCCTGGATCTTAGACTGGGGATTACACTGCTGTTCAGTTCAGAATGGGCGGGAGAGCAAGCTTTTTGAATGTTTGGGAACAGAAAATACTCTGCTATCATTGGAAAGGCTCCTGTGGCTGTCTTGGTGGGTCTTGGTTCCCTAAAGCATTTCCTTATCCAGGTGCTTGAGTGTTCTTATGGTCACTGAACGGAGACTTACAGGTGTGCTTCATTCCTTGGCAGAAAGGGGGCTTTAAAGAGCTGTTTAGACTAGAGTTAAGGGCAGCCTCTGTTTCCCAGGGCCCGGTGTGACAGCTTAGTGACTTTCTTCAAGGGCCGTGAGGGGACGTTCTGGTGTGGGAAAGGAACAGGGCCGAACTAAGGTGGAGCAGCCCTCAGTAATGTGTGCTGACATCTCCTAAGCAGCGCTTCATGAAATCCAGGTTGAGCCAGATGGTTTAATGCTCAAAGGATCACTTTGTGCATTTCAGGGTTTGGTTAATCAACCTAAGGAAGAGCTGTTCATTATCTCTTCAAAACTAGGAAGATAATGAGCTGCTGGAGAGCCTGATGTGCATTAGAGTATCAAGGGCAGTGTAGTGAGATACTCCTGCTGACCAGCTGACCTGAAATATTCAGCCCTGATCTAAATGGGTACAGCCACAGTCGCAGCATTTTGCACAAACCGTTTCCTGGCTTTATGATGTTTTGTGCCACTGGTGAATTTCCAGCTTCCGCAGACAAGGATGACTTTGGAGGGATAAAAGGCTGGAATCAAATGTCCTAAGGGCAACGATGTCTCAAGCATTCTGCATTGTACATCATCAAGAATTCAATGGGCAGTGGAGTAGCAGGCAAGCAGGTCTTGCCTTTACCGAACACAGTAGCGCCCTTGGTGAGACCCACCTCCCATAATACAAATGATAGTTGTAGGTGTCAGTGTCACTCAAAGCAGTGTAGCAACACTACATAAGCTGCCTCTTATTTGTGACATTGAATTGCGTCAGAACAAAGAACTGAAGATAGTAGCTAAATGTGTTGCAAGGTGATGCCTCTGCTGCTGCTGGGCATCAGCCTTCGTTAGGCTTAATTGGAGAGTTTGTGCGGCCTTGCTGTGCCTGTGGTTCCAGGGCTGATTTTGAGGCAGAATGTCCACCATGCTGTGGAGGCAGAAGCGTGGTTGTGCTTTCCATCCCATTCCTCGTCCAGTTTAGTGCTATTCCTGACTGTATTTCAGCGCTCTGACCAGTTTGGTTTTAACTTGGGTGTCTGCCACCTCTCCTTTGATGCTGTTCTGTAGTCCAGAAGACCTTCAGAGTTTTATGCCCATTTTAGGGAATTTATTCCAAATTTTTTCCATTTTTTCCCTTGTGCCATGTTGACAGCTTGTCTTTGTAGCCTCTCGGTTATCCTAAGTGATTTTCTGTGGGTTACCTTCTGTAAGTATTCTTCCCCCTCCTCTCCCATGGTTATTCTTCAATCATTTCAGACCATGTTAAAGATCACGGTCTGTAAGTGGGCGTAGAGGGGAGGTAATTCCAGTGTGTATGGTCAGGGCATGGACTGTCCCTCCGTGGTGCTTGTAGAGGGTACTTTGCGAAAGGGTGAGTATGGTGATATGGGACGCCTGTATATGGAAAGGATGCTGAAATAAATTGTTTGAGTCGTTGTGTCCTGGAGTCTGCCTTCTCTTGGTGGAGACACGTAGGCTGATGCAGCTGAGGTACATTACAATCAGGTATAGTTTGGCTCCTTAGTTCTAGACAAAATAGACTGGCTTGCAACTGGGGTGAGGAGTCCTGCCTTGAGACACAGCTGCCTTTATTGTCCCTTCTTGAGGGAAAATTCAGTGGCGTGCAGAGGCAACCTTAGCCATTAGTACTAAGAAATTGCTTTGGCTTTTGTGTTTCTCTTCTGTGTTTCATTTCTGAGACTTAGCTCTGCCCCAGGATTAGCTCGATCTCTTTTTTTCCCTGGTTCATGAGCTGCCTTACGTTCATCCACTTCATGCAGACATTTAATTGATATGCTCCTATGTCTGGCTTACTATTCTATGAACACAATTTCTTTCCTAGCCTTTAATTGATTTGGATAATAAGGTGCAATTATAAAACTCAATATAAATTGGTCATTTTAAAGGAAGAGCAGGAAAGAAAGAAACCTAAGTGATGCTATGGTGTGTGACTGTATAATAATGTAAAATCCCCTTTGGTTTAATTCTATTTGATTGCTCAGCTTTACTCGCGTTGTTACAATTCTGCAGGCTTTCTCACAATTATAAGCAGCATGGTTATAAATGTTTGTGTGTTTTAAAATTTCCTTGTGTATATAATAATTGTAAATTTTATGGTTTTGTGGTGGTTGCTGCCCGCACTGGCATCCTTCCTTCTCCTTGCTCACATGCCTGGGGAGCCTGTACTACTGCTCTCCTCTCAAACTTTTCCTAATCCAGCTAAGTCCTCTTCCGAGGATTGAATTACTAAACCAGTTGCCACGTTAGGGGTAAACAGTTGTTTAATTTTTTTAATGTTATTGGATTCTCTCTCCTTCTCTGGCCTCTTTACGCTCTAAAAGCTCTCTTGCTTCCAAGCGAGCGAGACCTTGGACAGGAACTAAGAAGAGGTGTGAGGTGTCCTACCAGGGGATGCTCTGGCAAGATTTATGGCATGTGCCAGGGATGGGAGATCATAGAATCACAGAATGGTTTGGGTTGGAAGGGACCTTATAGATAATCTAGTTCCAACACCCCTGCCATGGGCAGGGACACCTTCCACTAGACCAGGTTGCTCAAAGCCCCATCCAACCTGGCCTTGAACACTTCCAGGGAGGGGGCATCCACATGGTATATTGGGATAGGAAGAACAGAGGATCAAAAATACTTCAGCTATTCTGGGCAAGACTCTGAGATACTTAAATAGGATATGAATTTTTTCAGTCCTTTTGAGATCTGAATCTTTGGGAATTTCTCCTTTACTCAGTGTCTGCTTTTTCACTAGAGAGGAAGAGACCTGATACTTGAAGTTGTGTCTTGGATTTGGGAAGTCTGAGTCTTTTTCTTGAGTGTTATATCTTACTGATGAGTTCTCCCTCTATTAATTTTTTTTCTTTCTCCTTTGTCTGTTTTTCCTACTGAAAGTACCATAGTGAGAGACCATTTCTTATTAGGTGTGACTTCTGGGTTTACCCCAGCAGAGCCATTCTACTGCTGCCATATTGATATGGATTAGTATCTGGGGTTGCTTGAATGCAATAACTGAGTTTCTTTGTTTCTCTCTTTTTTTCCCAGTTGGGAGGCTGTGGAATCCTTGGAGTAGGCATCTGGCTCGCTGTTACCCAAGGGAACTTTGCCACCCTCTCCTCTTCTTTCCCATCCCTGTCAGCTGCCAACCTACTGATCGTCACAGGGACATTTGTCATGATCATTGGCTTCGTGGGCTGCATAGGCGCCATCAAAGAAAACAAGTGCCTCCTGCTGAGTGTGAGTATTAAGCCGCTGTGCCACTGCGGTGTTTGCTGTCTCTAAGGTGCTGGTGCTATTCCAGTGCATGTTACAATGTCCTTACTTCCTTACTTGCTGACTTGACATGGATGGGATGTAAGTCATGTTTGACTCAGTCCTTGATAACTCTAAGGAGCTGCTAGGTCATTCCTGACCATGCTTTTAACCTGTCCTTGGAGGATGAGACCTGCAAGAAGGCAAGGGTTGTTGGTGATGTGGGTTTCCTTGAACTCTTCAGGGAAGAGGGAGGGGTTTGTGAAGACATCTTTCGCAGTGTACCCTTGAATTATGTTTTGCTCAGCTTTGGCAGCTATCTACTTCAAATGTCTACTGTGGTGGCGCGGATGATCTGAAGTCCTGGGCAGAAAGATCAATGTGGGCAGGAAACATTGTAAAGAGGTTGATTTTGGTTTAAATTGGAAATGAAGTCCTTCAGATTTGGCAGTGCTGGGTTTGCCAATCATTAACTCTCAGAAGGCCGAGATGTCAGGAAGCAAAGCTGCCAGCACAAGGAGACTGCTGTGAAATCAAAGATTAGTAAGGTGCCAGCTGTCCATGATTTAACAGAGTCTTGAGCCACATCCCTAGTGTATTTTGTCAAAATGTGATTTGATGTCACTCAAAGCTGGACTTCAGAAGTAGTGAGTGCCTGCTGTAGTTGGTGTTAGTGTGTATTTTCGGTCGTGTTCAGCTGAAGATCAGGATGTGAGGGGATCTTGCTGCTCAAGTCCAGGGCTTCACCATGAGGTTCAGCAAACCTCAGTGCGAAGTGAAGCTGGGGTTTAGTTTGCTGAGCTGGCAATTCCTTTGTAAAAGGCTGTTCCTCACTGTGCTTTACATATTCATTTTGCTTCCCTGGGAACTACAGAATGAGTTGAGGCACACAGCCCCCAAGAAGAATTCACCCTGTAAAAATCTTCAAGTGACTGTGAGATTCCAAGCCTCAATAAAGGACTGTCTCCAGAACCCTGCTTTAATCAGTTGTTTCTGCCGATTTTTAACCAATAAAAGCCAGGACTAGTCAGTCTAGTCTGGTAAAGGCTATTTATGTGGCAAGTACATGGTTTGACACTAAAATGAACAATATAAATTGAAATTAAGGCAATTGTGTGAATGGAAGTTTACACTGGGAAGGCTGAAGTCAGAATCTAAGGCTGAAAGTCCTTGACAATTTTAACAGTGTTATAAATACCCACTTTGTGGAGGAGATGTCTGGCCAGCCAGATGTAATTACTGGATTACAGCTTCAGTGCAAATACAGCAGCAGTCCACAGGGTGCTGAGTATAATGGTATAGCTTATATATGCAAAATTAATCACCTATTTTGTGCTTTTTTGATTAAAGTCCCATCTCAGATGTCACCAGCAATGAGCAGTGTCATCTTATGTGTCAGGATCAGATCAGGATCTGGCAGTCAGTCCTCAGTACTGGAAGAGTTTCAGCCTTTTATCTCGTATGGTTTATTGGCCCTCATCACTCCTTTTGGCAAGGGCAAAGTCTCCCTTGATCAGCCATCATTGCTGTAGCTAGGGTGACTATACTCACCCAACCCTAGATGGGCAACCTTTTAGGGGGATGCAAATGTTTGGGGGTACTGCTCCTTCTAACACATAATGCACAATACTCAAAATCTAATGCCCTTCAATGCATGGTGTAAGGACTGTACTTGATGGATCAAGTTAAGTAATGCAAAGGAATCCAAATTCATTTAAGAACTCTTTGCATGGAAGAATTGGGAAGCTCGATCTTATTTGGTACCAGCATTTCAGTCAGTCTGCCTGTCCTTACCTTTGTGTAACATAGCTATTCAGCGTGGCCTCTATTTCACTCATTTTTCTTCAAAAATGAGTTATGTTAGAGCTGATTGCTCTAATTCTGAAGAAGCCAAACTATAGCGGGTTGAAATACAGTTTCATTAGTCTACACTGAATTCAGTTTTTGTTTAGTCTGCAGTAACTTTCCACAATGTGCATTGGTAATTACTTACCCTCATGATCCAGGAGTGAGATTGTTGAGGTCTTGTGAGTTCTTCTGTTGAGTCTATCTGTTTGGAAGGGAAAAGGATGGTGGTAGGAGCTTCTGTTTCTGGGAGCAAAGCCTTATCATGTAGATTTGTTGTTAGTCTTCCTTTCCCCAAATTGCTGATTCTATTTGACTCTTGTCTGAAACAGTACTTTCAAGTTCAGGGCCAGGGCATTTGGTTTTGGACAACTCCAATTTTTCTAGGTAATGTAGGTAGCAAAACAAATGCTTAAGTGAAAGAACCTGAATAACAAACCAAGGCTGTCTTACGGTGTGTGGTTCCTAAATCTCGTCATCCTTTTCTTATTTCACAGGTGTTCCCAGCACTGTGTTCTGACAAAACGAAAACAATCTCTTCCCAAAATATCTCTGTTTTTGTTAAACATCCCTGAGGATGCCTCTTCTCTACTGCTTTTTAAGAGAACTGTTCTGTTGCAGCTGAGATGTGACAGGATTTACCATCTAAGCTATGAAGGGGAAGCTAGTGAGCACTGGCAGCCTTGTGTGTAGATGACACACATTGTGTTTAACAGTCACTGCAGGGTCAAGTCTTTACACTCCTTTTGATATCTCCCAGGCCACCACTTAACATCTAGGTTTGCTGCTGGCAGTAGCTAAGATTGCTTTTTGAACTGAATTCCTGTAATTCATGTCTCCACAAGGTATAACCACAAATGTGTCAGCAGCTCTTGGAGTAAGTTGTCTTGCTTATGTGTGATGTCACTACCATATCTTGTTGTGCAGCATTTGGTTTAGCTGACTCTTCCTAACTTTTTCTTCCATTTGGAAATAGGAGCTTTGATAGTACACAGGCCGAGAAACTGAAGTCTGGCCGCACAAGTGTTTAAGATGGGCTGATGGAGCCTGTTTGATTGTATGGGTAGTATATTCTGTTGCACTATTCACTGGATAATGTATTTAATTCTCTTAATTTAGCCTCCTCTCTTGATATTTGACCAACGCCAGCACTCGACCAATAAAGAGGTGAGTGCTAAACGTGCTTAGGGAACTGGAATGATGTATTGGGTTTGTGTGGCAACGTTTTGGTAGCGGGGGAGGTACAGGGGTGGCTGCCATGAGAAGCTGATAGAGCCAATGCCAGCCAGCTCCGAGACAGACCCGCCACTGGCCAAGGCCAAGCCCATCAGTGACGATGGTTGCACCTCTGGGATAACATAGTTAAGAATGGGGAAAAAAACCTGAGCAACTGCAGCTGAAGAGAAGAGTGAGAATGTGAGAGAGAAACAACTCTGCAGACACTAAGGTTAGTGAAGAGGATGGGGAGGAGATGCTCCAGGCAACAGAACAGAGATTCCTCTGCAGCCCGTGGTAAAGACCATGGTGAGGTAGGCTATCCCCCTGCAGCACATGGAGGTCCACAGTGGAGCAGGTCTCCACCTGCAGTCCACGGAGGACCCCACATCGGAGCAGGTGGATGCACCCGAAGGAGGCTGTGACCCTGTGGGAAGCCCACGCTGGAGCAGGCTCCTGGCAGAACCTGTGGACCTGTGGAGAGAGGAGCCCACGCCGGAGCAGGTTTGCTGGCAGGGCTTGTGACCCTGCAGGGGGCTCACACTGTACCACTGGAGGGGAGGAGGTAGAGAAAATTGTGAGTGAGGTTGAGCCTGGGAAGAACGCAGGTGTGGGGGCAACTTGTTTTTAAGATTTAGTTTTTATTTCTCATTATCCTATGCTGACTTGATTGTAATAAATTAAATTAATTTCCCTGAATTGAGTCTGTGTTGCCTGTGATGGTAATTGGTGAATGATCTCTCCCTGTCCTTATCTTGACCCATAAGCCTTTCATTATATTTTCTCTCCCCTGTTCAACTGCGGAGGGGAGTGTTAGAATGGCTTTGGTGGGCACCTGGTGTCCAGCCAGGGTCAATCCACCTCAGATGGACAGGAGTTAGTCAAGATCTGCGGGCAGTTGAAACAGGTTTGTGGTGAGCTTAAAAGCAATGAAAAGTTAGTAACAGGTTACTACAATGAAAGCAAGGAGTAGAAGCTAGGATGTTGTGTCCCTTGCACATTTCAGTAGTCTGTATGCAAAAGTCTGATCAAATGAGGCTTGGAATGGACAAAAAGGAAAGGAAGTGGAATATACCAAGCTGGAGAAGTACCCAGGGATGATATCATGGTGGGTTGGCAGATACTCAAGTCATAACCTACATTTATGAGATCAAACAAGTTGAAAGCTTGTGGGTTAGAATTAAGGGACAGGCTCATAAGGGTGACATTATGGTGGGTGTGTACTACAGGCAGGCCACCTGACCAGGAGGAGGAGGTTGATGAGGCCTTCTACAGGCAGCTGCAAGCAGCCTCACAGTCACAGGCCCTGGTTCTCATGGGGGACTTCAACCACCCTGACATCAGCTGGGAAGACCATACAGCTAGGCAGACACAATCCAGGAGGTTCCTACAGAGCATCGATGATAACTTTCTCATGCAAGTGGTGGAGGAACCAACAAGGAAAGGCACGCTGCTGGACCTTGTGTTAACAAACAAGGAGGGACTGGTGGAGGATGTGAAGGTCGGAGGTAGCCTCGGCTGCAGTTGATGCAAGTGGTGGAGGAACCAACAAGGAAAGGCGTGCTGCTGGACCTTGTGTTAACAAACAAGGAGGGACTGGTGGAGGACGTGAAGGTTGGAGGTAGACTCGGCTGCAGTGACCATGAAATGGTCGAGTTCAGAATCCTGCGTGGAGGAAGCAGGGCGATAAGCAGGATCAAAACCCTGAACCTCAGGAGGGCTGACTTTGGCCTCTTCAAGGAGCTACTGGGAGGAATCCCGTGGGCCAGGGCTCTCGAAGGCAGGGGGGTCCATGAGTGCTGGTCGCTCTTTAAACGACACTTCTTCCATGCACAGGAGCAATGCATCCCCCTGAGAAAGAAATTTAGCAAAGGAGGAAGGAGACCTGCATGGTTAAACAAGGAGCTTCTAGCGGAGATCAGGCA